GAATACGTGAAGCAGGTTCAAAGGGACTACCAAGATACTAAGAAGTCTATAGAAGACTGGCATAACAGCTTGAAAGAAACTAAGGACAGACTATCTGAACTGGAGGGCAGACTTGTAATATGGGAGAATGAAATGAAAAACTTCTTAAAAATAACAAAGAAACAAACAGCAATAATACAAAGACAAGAAGATGATAAGAGGATCCATAACTTAAGGATTAAGAACATAAAAGAAGAAGTAGGGACACAAACAAGTGAACTACAAAAGCTACTCACAGAAATAATCCAGGAGAATTTTCCTAATTTAGCAAAAGGTAAAGATACTCAGATGTATGAGGCATACAGGACCCCAGCTACCTACAACCCAAACAGAGCAACACCCAGGCATATAATAATAAAAATTCCAGAAATTCAATACAAGAAAAGAATATTAAAAGCTGTAAGAGACAAGAAACAGACCACTTACAAGGGAACACCCATCAGAATTACAGCAGATTTCTCTGCACAAACCATCAAATCACGAAGAGCGTGGGGGGAAATAATTCAAGCTTTGAAAGATAATAATCTCCAGCCAAGATTGAGATATCCTGCACAACTGTCCCTGGAAATTGATGGAAAAACAAGGTGCTTCCAGGATAAAGAGGAACTGGGGGAATTTGCAACCACCAATTCAACTCTACAGAGAGTATTGCAGGATATTCTAAAAAAAGAAAAATACAAAGAATCCAGAAATAATGGCAGAGAGGCCACAACGAATGGAGCAGAGAAGAAAATGAAGAAGACAAACTGACAGCTACTGACAGAAAAAGAGCTCAACAGAAATGAGGCAGAGAAGATCGGATGATAGGAACAACTATTTTGGAGAAAATGACATCTTAATAGGTAATACTGATTTAGTATCATCTTGTTTTGAAGTCTCATCTAGCTTTTGTCCTTCTGTCTCCAATGGTCTAAATAGGCTGTATCTTATTGGATTTTATTATGTACGATAGTTTAAGCAAAAACCTTTTAAATACAAGGAGATTATACAGAAACCATTGTTCATTTTCTGTTAGTAGATTCTAAATACTCTGTAATGCTGTCATTCTCTTGAATGGTTTTACATTGTTTTGATATACTTAATGCTACAGTATACGAAGTTGTACTCAAGGATTTCAAAGAAACAGACAATATGGTAACCACTTTTAGGTTAGGATTATCTGGTGGTGAAACACTATTCTGCTTAAATGGTTATGTTTTGATCTGCGCTGTTTCGTTGTTATGCCCTCTTTTATCTCAATCTCCACTCCATTATTTACTTTTTTATCTTTATCCTTTTAATTAAAGGAAAAAAAATAGCAGGATATATTATAGTAACCCACTTTGACTTTTCATTACCTTGATTTAAAGCCCTGTATTACTCTCACCATCTGGTTTTTAACTGATGTTCCCCTATTCTGTTTTGCTGGATAGTATCAGGTTCGAAAGTTTAGGCATCAGCTGTAAAGATAATGAGATTCATTATGACGCCCATTCTTGTTGACTTTTATCTACTTTTGAAGACCTACAATGTCTCCAATGTTTTGGTTTTGTTGGTTTTATTCTTTACTGTTTTGTTCAATTGTATTGTAACTAACGATATAGGCAATTCTATTAGAGATAGTGGGAGGCATTATGGTAACCATTGTTGATCACCTTGTATTATGTTTTTACATTATCTATTATGTCCACCCTTTTGACTTGACCGATTCTGTTCTGTTATGTCACATTTGGTTTTACTCTCTTCCAAAAAAGTAATAAGAACCGTTGGAGCAATGAAACCCAAAATGTGTAATAGTCATGGTACAAAAGAGAGGAAAAGAAAGTGCTCCAAACTATATAACTGCATGTATATTTAAGTGTATAAGATAGAAAATGATATCACAGAGTTTTATTGGATCAATGAACAGAACTGTTTGCAGTATCATTGATGGAATGTCCACTTTACAAGCTTTAATTTTGTGACTTGAACAATTATTTCTAAGATGACAATATGTAATCCATTACCTAGTGATTTCCTACTGTTCATTTTTTTTCTGTAAATCTGTATAACTTGTACCCTTTCCCTGCTTTTTTTTCTTTTCTCCTTAAATAAAATTGAAAAAAAAAAGGAAAAAAAAAAATCAGAGCCGAAAATTTGCACGTGGGACTCTGAGAGCTAGTAGTGTTTTAAAAATAGCATTGTGCTTTCCATGAAGTGTCATTTTTTCTTCCATAAAAAGGAACACAACTTCAAGACAGCAGAAGAGCGTTTTCATAGCCACCCAAGGGTGGCTCATCATAAAACAAACAAATGAAAATGTCTGCCTTTGAATTTCAGTAATAACGCATTATAATTGAAATGGCCCAAACCAGCTGAGTTCCTGGAGGAAACAGCACTTCTTCAGGGGTGAAGAATCACCTGTGTGAGGACACTTTGCCATGTGACATCAGTGCTCTTCTGTCTTAGGGGAGAACCCGTGTACACCTACTTGTATTTTGTATATGTATCATAGTGATTTTCTTCTTAATTTTCTGATTGTTACATTTCTTCTTTGAAATGAAAACAAAAAATACTTAATATACTTGGTGACTATAAGAAAGAGTCAAAACCAAGAGTATGTGGGAGTACAAACAAGACCACGCTACTATAAATTAATTCAAAAATTTCACTATGAAACTTAAAATATAAGGTCTAAAAATCAACTTTTGGAAGTAACTTTACAGTGAAGAATGCAGGGTGTCAGAGAGAAAGTGGAAAGACAAGATTAAAACAAAAGTGCTCGGCGAAAGGGCATCCTGGGAAGGCCTCACCAGTACATATAAGGGTGACAGCAATATAGATGGAAAGAGATCACCCAGAACATAAGGCGGTAGAAAACGTTCAGGTGAAAACGCAAACTTAGTGAATTAGATTTTGATAGAGTCCAAAAGAATTGGAGTGATAGGGTAGAGGGAATCACCAGCAAAATAAATCCAAAATATAGTGAAAGGTTCCCCTCCCCAAGTAAAACCATAATAAGAGACAGCAAGAAATAAGTTAAGATATAAACTGAGAAATTGTTCCTGAACTAAAATAAGACTTGAATCAACAGTCTGCGGAAAAGATAAAAGTGAAAACAGAACATATGCTACTGGGCACAATAGTCTAGAGCCCTAAAGTGCTGATTAACACAGTAGTGATGTCCTAGACTTGTCCATCAATGAAGACTCCTCCAATCACTCATGCAAGTGACAGCTTTCCAAATCCTATTAGATCAGGAGAAAGGATGGGACAGCCTCCTTGCCCCACCCACCCCGGCATCACTTTTCGCTGCAAGTGTGAGGCAAGGGAAGTGCCTTTGAATGCATAAGAATTCAGATACGCTTATCACAGCCAGCCCTCATTTCCTGGGTGGCTGACTGAAGACAGATCTGCCCAGTCAGAGATGATTAAGGACACTGTAAGGCAGGAAACTGCCCACACTCCAAACCTATGCAAAGCAGACCCTGCAGGCAGCTCCCGACAGCGTGGCTAGTGCCACAAGACCTGCATCATTCAGCCTCATTCAGAACCTGCAAAAAAGACACTCTTTGATTTCTGATCATGGAAAGTGGAGTAAACCCCTGCGTGCCTATGGTTTGAGTCACCAGGTTTTAGAGAAGTTGTGCAGCAATTGGTAACTAAAGAAGGCTTAAAACTTAATGAATTTGAAAAGTATGCGAATTGGAAAGAGTTTTTTTTTTTTTTTTTTTTTTTTTTTTGTGGCCCTGAGGATTGAATCCATGGCCTTCACAGCAAGCTGTATCTGCCATCCTCTTTCAGTTTTATTTATTTTTGAGACAGGGTGTCATTAGCTTGTTAAGTTGCCAGGCTGTGCTCTTCCTGCCTCAGCCTCCCAAGATGCTGGCTTCACAGGAGAGCACCAGCATTCTCTGCTCCTCCTACCCTAAGAGCGGTGCAAGGGCCTCCTGCATTCCTTTTGGACTGACAGGTGCCCCCACGTCTACACAGCCCTGGACTTGGGCTGGGTCCTGGCTGGGAGACCCTTAAGGCAGCAGGCCATGGCAGCCCTGGAGAGGCCTGTGTGACAGGTACTTAGGGGGTGAAGCTTAGCACAGACGGACGCACCCAGGTGGGAGAACCAGGACACAGCTCAGAGCCAGGGCCCAGTGGAGTACATGGGGCCGCCTGGGACCCAACAACAGATCTGACCTGGCTGGCTGGCCCTACTCAGGGTCTGGAAGAGGGAGTGATGTTCTCACTGCAGAGGCTGTGTTCCCAGCAAATGAGGAGCTCCAAGAAATTGCCAACTTTCGAGATCTGCTGTGGCCCCACTCTCCCTGCAGTGGTGAAACCTCTTAAGGCTGGAAAGAAGCAGGGTGACAAGGAGAATGTTGACAAAACCTGGGCGTTGCGGGCCAGGGCCCAGCCTTCACACCAGGCTGATCAGAACCATGACAGCACTGCAGGCTCCCCAGGTCCCGCCCCTCCCCAAGGGGGAGGCTAGCGATAGATGGGACTTGGGCTCCATTTTCTTACACATTGACCATGTACTTGGAGTGAAATAATTTCACCTTAACATTCCATTTTATAATAACACCTAGCACTCAGATATCAGCACAAGAGATGCTCTGGAATTGTAACAGATCTTCCAACCTCAAGCTGCTGCTGACAGCAGACACAAGGGACAGACACCAGTTTGCTAAGGTCTACCAGTTACATGGACCCCGGCATCCGGAGCTGAGCAGTCACTTAATGTGGGTAGCACCGGGCTTGGTGTGCCAGGTGTTCCTCAGGACCCTGGAGGAACAGAGTTACCAACCACCATCAGGCCAATTCATACAAGACTGGAACCAAGCTCAAAATTAAGAGCCGAAGTGCGTTTCTTTTTCCTGTAAAGTACAATATATGTTTCTTCCTTGTATCTTAACATCGGCTTTAGATTGGTTTAAGAAAAATTTAAAATTTTAAACTTAAAAACCAAACAAATAAAAATAAATGTAAAGCTTGGGTGACACTACCTCCGGACAAGATGTGCCTGATCACGGAGACATAGTCCTCGGGCTCCTGCCGGGTCGACAGCTCCCATCTCCCGGGGGAGATTTTCAGGGACTTGTACAGGGGGGCCGCACTCCCGAGCCCACAGAGCAGTGTGACCACACTGGCCGGCGAGTCCAGCACCTTCTCCAGAAACTCAGACTTCTGTGGTGTGAGGGTTTGAAGCACGCTGCTGGATAGTATCAGAAGCTTGCATCTGTAAGAGGGTAAGCCTAACAACTCCAGGTGCTTCAGGGAGAAGCCCCCCAGGCGGTACAGCAGGATCCCTTCTCCCTCCACGGTCTGGGAAAACAGCGTCCTCAGATACACAGCCCAGTCCTCAGAGTCATCTTCGTACATCACAAGGATGGCGTTCGTGCTTCCTGGAAGAGGACAAAATAGTTCACGAGTTGTCTTACGTTTGAAATGCTAGCAGCAGGTTATGTTATTATTTCTCAAAGTATTAAGTGTACCCCTCAGGCAAGAGACTACTGTGCTTATACTGGGGCAGTGCTGATTCACATTGTCCCCGCTGGAATCGCATGAGGTGGAAGTCTTCATTAAAATGGCACAAATCTGCTCCGTGTGAGTCTGAGTGGGGTGCACACAGTGTGCACTGCAACAGCAGGGAGGCCTGCAACCGTTGCTTCCAAATGAAAGGTTTATAAAGGAGCTTTGCCCAATGATTGGAAGCACTTTGAGATGAGACAAATATACACCAACAGCCTTTAAAGTACTTCTTCTAGGTAAGGATGGGTATTAGAGTCAGATTACAGGATTTCCATCCCCAAAGAGCCAGCAAGATTAACATCTGTTTAAAAAGAGGAGAGATTCAGTGGCAAAAACCAAATAGAGGGGGCTCCTGGCCCACAAGGGAAGGGGCCAGGGCTGTGGCTGGGAGGGCCAGCTCACTCCAAGCTCAGCTGCACCCAGAGCTGTGGTGCCGCAGTCAGGGTCTGCAGCCCTTAAAGTCTGTGCTCTGTCATCCTGTGCAACACAGCCAGGGAGGTTTGCGGACATGGGAAGGCTGAGCATCTTCCACCAGCCAGGTCAGAGCCTGCACCCCAAGTCCTGCCATGAGGGGTGTGCCTGGGAGAGGACTGTCCATAGGCCCCAGCCACCATGTCTACCCATGGTGCCAGAGCAGTACACAGCTCATACATCACAGTGCTCCTGTCCTCCTGTGGGCCTCAGGCCCTTATGGGACCTGGGACAGAGAGCAGATCTGCCCTCCACCCTCCACTGTAGGAGGAGGGAAGATGATTCAGGACATTCCATACTCCCAGCCCATTTTCACTTGTGTTGAAAGTTGAGCTTTCTTTTTACACTCATAGTTGATATATGCTTTGTCAATAACTCTATTTGCTAATTTCAAAAGCCTGAATGTGAGCATTCAGTGTCACTACTGCCCTCTTTACAGCACATGAAGTATTTCACTCTTTTTACTCTCCTCAGTTATGATCTCACTGGAAAGTCTGGGATGCAGTACAGAGCAAGACGCCCCAAGTCCTCAGGAACTGTATGTAGTGCGCCCCTCACTATTTACTACTGATCACAATGACCCTCAAAGGGTAAGTGCAGTCAGGGCCATGAGGACAGTCACTGGTCCCCACCTTGCCTTGTGTTTCTTCATGAGAAATCTAGTTAAGTCAAGATACAAAGTTAGTAGAAGCCTTTTTTCCCTTGCCCTGGAGGAGCTAAGCCTGATTATAAGCTGTGCCTATTCTGTAGACCAACAATAGCCATCTACCTATAAATCCTCATGGCTGCCGTGTGCTCCATTTTATACTGGCACAAGCAAAGCACCTGATGAATGTGCAAATTTAAAAATTTTCTTACAGTAAAAGTCACATTGCCTTGAACCTCCCTTATATCAAAGCAGTTCTGGTCCTTTTTCCTGCATGTCTTTAGGCAGTGAGATAGACAGTGCATGCTGCTGCTGAGTGCCAGCCAACAGAAAGGCTCTTCGTTACAACAGCACAGTGCATCCAACCCACCTTATTCAAAAGATCCGACACCGTGCGACCTCGGCTTCCTTAAAGCCAAAATGGCCAACAGTAAACATTTTGAATCAGTGCAGGCCACCCAGGCAGCCATGACAGTGTGACTAAAGACACTCAGGAAGGAGAAGTCCAGAGCTGCTTCAGAAAGTGGCAAGCGTGATGGGATGCGTGTGTTCAAGAGGAAGGGAAGGTTTCTGAGAACGGGAACAACATGTGTTTACTGCGGGACACTTTCAGAATTACAACAGTCACTGTAGTTGCAACCAGGCCTCATGTACTTGCTCTGAACCATCCTCTCCTTCACTGATGGGGTTTACTGTCATTAACAGCGGCCAGGATTAGCCTGGGAACTGAAACAATAAAAACCGACATGAAACATAGAACACAAAATTTTCATGCCTGGAAAGCTACACTGTCACACAAGAACCTTACTCTTGAAGATATAATTAAACTGTGTAGATAAGTTATTTAACATGTAAATCTTCAGTCTAAAGTAAATCACAGCGTTATTCGATGGTTTTACAGGAACAAAATGGAGCGATACTAATTCTCATAGATTTATTGTGAAGGGTGCTTTCAGATTCAATATGTCTTATTTACTTTTTTTTTTATAAAATACTCTGATGAGTTTTTAAGGTGGAAGGAGCTTTGTATTAATAATTGCTCTTATGTGAAAATCAAATTTTACTGCATTTTATCAAAAAATGAGACTACCCATGAAATCCGTCCTCTTGCATACGCACAGCTCCCCACAGAATGGCAGGCTCTGTGCTTTTTGAATAAGATTCAGTCTCATACACAAATGTACATTGTGCATAATGGAAAAACATTGCATGATGCGTCTTTTCAATATCATTTTTTCTAACTTGTAGCCAAAGTGCTGAAGAAAAAAAGGGGAAATACTTTGTAGTTGTACGGGAGTGAGGGGTGACACACGAACATTAAACCTGATGTCATCACCACACATATAGTCACACTTAAATTATGCAGTAAGTAAACTTCAATTGGTATATGTTCCAGTTTTGAGCTATTATATCAAAAAAATGGGAATTAAAAAATCTTAAAATTGTGAGATACACTGAACATATATTCCTCCTCTAGGACAGTGGGTCAATGGCAGAGGGTCCCAAGCACTCCATGTGTAGTCTCTACATTTTGTGGGGCTCAGAGAGGCTGAAAGCAGGTGTTTAAGTGTCAACCATGTCCTCGCTGTGCTTCGCTGCCCTGGGACTTGACTCTGGTCCTGCCAAGCTTCTCATTGGTGCCCGGTCCAGCAGCTCAGAAGCGCTGCAAATGGGAGTCCCGAGGGGCCTGTGTCTGCCAGTGAGGGAGAGAGTCAGCGTGCAAACACAGAGCTGCTCCACCCTGCAGGGGCCAGTTCCTAGGCCTTTCTGCACAGGAGCGGAGGGTCCCAGGGACAATGAAACGCCAGTGCGTGTGCTGCGGAAGGAGTCACACCTGCTCACTGCAGCCTTCTTGCTTGCTGGCACACGCATGGCGGACCTTTTTCTCTGTCTTGTCTCCCATCGTCTCACTGTGCTTCCTGGGCTCACACTGCACTTTAGAGTCTTCTTCAGAAATGTCTGCATACATACAGTCTTTAATTTTGTCCTTTTCAAATGCAGAAAGCACCAACATATCATTTTAAGATTATGCTTTTCAGTGATAATGAAGGAGTGGCCAGCAGAAATTACTTTACAAAAACTCAGAACTCTCTCTCTTCTTGTTCTATTTAAAATGCAAACAAATACAACTATGCCTCACACAGCAGCCAGAGATGGGTTTTTTTTTTCATTTATGTAAATAAGTACAGCAGTCTAGTTACTTTTCTCATTGCTGAGACAAAAATACCTGATCCCCAAAGCTTAAGGAGGAAAAGTTTATCTGGTTCACAGTTTAGAGACGTCTCAGTCCGTAACTGGGCGGCTACGAGGCAGGACAGCGCAGCGGAGGGGCATCACATTCATGGCAAAGCAGGGCAGGGAGGGGCAGCCAGCAGTACAGCAGCAATCAGCAAGGGACAACAGCAGCTTCTTCCTGCCCCTTTTGTGTTCTGTCCAGGCTGCCTGGTTTAGGGTAGGCTTCAAACCAATCAGCAGACTAATTTGTTAATCACACACTCTTAAAAACACATTTTGTATTTAGTCACATCTGAAAAAGCACCACTGATGGCTGCTTGAGATTTGGGGGGAACATCTAGACACAAGCATTATTTTGGAAATATCTCTTTTGACTCCAATTATATCAGCTCAAAATGTCCAAATTTTCACGTCCAGTCACTTTTAGACCTACTAGGCCAACTAAAAAACTAAGAAAACCTCATAACTACCTGATAAGAAGTTTGAGTGTATACACTGGAAAACTTCGTATTAAGGATCTGTCACAAGGCATGGGAATTAGAGTCAAGGAATTATCAATGCTTTCCACTAAGTCTGTTTACCTCTGAAAATAGGAAAGCTATATTTCAATTCCTAAAATATTACTTCAGCAATAAGATATAAAAAATTAAGTGGTTTAAAATAAGTGGTTATTTTTAAATTTCCATATTGTGTATATATATATATATATATATATATATATATATACACACACACACACACACACACACACACACACACACACTAAAATGGGAATTAAAACAAAATTAAAGGAAATATGTCTTTATCAATATAGAGATAGCATGGGTAAGAATTTCTCACTCCTTTCTAAGTTTCTAAGATGATTTGTATTAAAAGAAGAGACATATGCAAGTGACAATGTGGGAAAAAATATGTAGAAATGGTTTTTAGTATCTAGAGCATATCTCAACCATATTCTGGAAATAAAAATTGTTATTTGATTAAATATTTATCATAATAGATAATGCTAATCATAGTAGAAGTTTTACAGTTTCTTACATTATATCAGGTATTACTGCAGAATATTTGCCTAATTCTCAGAAATTCTGAGGTATATATTTTTATGATTACTTTCCAGATAAGAAAACCATGGATACTTAACACATGAACTAATTAACTTGGTCAAGATTATTCTCGATAACAAGAGCTTGGGTGATCCTCAAACTCAAGCTCTCCAGCTCAACACAGTTGTCCAACTCCTCCAGTGCCCTGCAAGTGCTCCTGTCCACCGAGGAGAGGTTGCATCCACTTACTGGTCCTCTGGCCACCTACAACTGACTCAGGATGGCTCATTCAGAACTGCATCACCATGTAGTGTGCTGGACTACAGGTGCAGCCTTCAAAGATTGTCCAGAACACAGATCATACAGTCTCCTTTCTTTTTTCCTCATTCTTTGAGTGTTGTCATTGCTTTCTACACACCCATAATCAAAGTGCAGTGGCAAGTTGAGGCCCCAACTGATGTTGACTAGTTCATTACAG